GTTTTTAGCAGACCCAGCCATGTAGGTGGGAAGACTGTTAACAAAAACATAAGAGCAATTTGGGGGTGTGAGGTGCGTTGAGGAGGGTGGGAAGGAGTTGTGAGATGGGGAGAAATCAAGAGTTCAGTGTTAGGTGTATTTTAAGTCTGACATGTGCAGATGACTTCTAAATGGAGATGTCAGGTCCACAGCCAAGTAAATCAGGAGCTTAGAGCAGAGATCGGGGCTGCAGCTATATATCCAAGAGGTACCAACATATAAATAATCTCTATAGCCATGGGCCATTCATGTGACTTCCTAAGGAGAAAGTCTCAGTGAAGGAAGGAGCAGGTCCTAGAAGAGGTGGGCGGCAGGGAACACAATGCGAGACTGAATTTGTCCCGATTCTGGCTGGAAGCTACCCACCTAACACTGCACCTTTCCTCTTCTCTGTAGCCACACATTGGCTAACCTGCCTTGATGAACCATCTCGACTCACTGGAGTCACCAGTACAACCTCTGTCCGGTTGGCCCACTACACTCCTGCACCTTCCCATCCAAATTTCTCATGCTGTAGATAGAATGCACAATACTCCCTCTGCCAGGGCCAGCTACTCTCAGAACTGAGTGAAATACTCTCCTCTCTCCACTTGCACAGCCATGTGCTGGCCATTCTGATCTTTCCAGATAGTCTGACCTCTAGACTTTCACATGCTCTATGCCCTCTGCTGAAACACTAACAATGCTGGCCTGGAGAAGTTCCCCGCCAGCCTTCGGCTCCTAAACAGACATGATATCACCTCCAGGAAGTCTCTTCTTGCTCTGTCTGGGTAAGCCCCACAGAGCACCTGTGTTTCCCCATTACAGCACTCACTTCATTCTGCTGAAATCACTTCCTTACACGGCTTCCTCTTGTTAGGTTTTGTAAAGATAGGCTGTAAGAAGCGGAGGACTGCACCAGCTCACATGGGCAGAGGTATATTCTGGTACATTCAGGTAAGTGGCTATCCCAGCTGCCGAGAGAAGATATGGCTCCCACGTCCCCAGCGGCCACCAGCAAACATCAGTTTATATCGTGGGGGACTTTTAAGACACACAACGTTTTTTCCCCTGAGGGCTACTTTTGGATCATACCAAATCATCAGAGTATCAGGAAAGAATCCTTTTATGAGTTACATTTTCAGGGTCTTGTTCTCTGCTTTTATCAAGGGACATTTAAGAAACAACTTTATAACAATCTGAGGCATCGGTTTCTAGATTATCATTGAATCTTCTCTAAACAGAACCTCATGAGACATTTTTTAGATCAATCTAAGTGGAGGGAAAATGCTTTACATTCCCTAAGTAAGTAATATGCTTTTTTTCCCTCTCTGATAATATGCCCTATGTATAAGGAAGACTTTCTGCTGTTTTGCTCTGGCAACCAACCCAGCTTGAAGTAAACGGTGAGAGCTGACTACAGCACCCGGACAATGCACATGGCTTGTTTGCCATCTGTTCCTCCTCTCGGGCTTGCCTATCTATCCCTGGTTTTTCAGTTCTCGTTTATTCCATGTCTTTACCAGTTCCTTTACAGCAAGGCAGGGTAAAATCAGGTGAACCTAGCACCATTTTAGACACATTATTTGGGCTCTATTGATTTGGAATAATTTTTTTTAGAAAAATACCCCAAACATTCAATTAACATTTAAATTTTAAAATAATGTCCAGATCATTTTATGTAATTACACATTATTTTAAAAACTTTTGACAAAACAGTTTTTAATTCATACCATGTTCTGTGTGTACCACTTCATGAAGAACAGACTGAACTGGTTCATTTACTTCATCTTCAATATACTGGGATTCTAAAATGATTACAAAATCATAAATAAGTAGAAAATATTCAGGAATTAATGTGGAATGCTCTTACTCAAATATGGCATTTGTGTAAACACATTAAAATTGATATCTTTGGCTAAGCAACTATGAATCTTGTCATTTAATTTACCACTTTTTCCCCATGTTGGCAGAGAGGCAGATATTTAAAATCGGTTTTATCTTGTCACCAGACATAATTTTTAAAATGTCATTAATATTTTAAAAGTGAATATTTAGCTTCATGTTTTTCTCAAAGCTTCACTAAGAGTAAAGTGACTTGTCTGTAATTGCTGAGATTCGCACTAATGACAGAATAAAACAGGAAGGCCAGAGCTTCCAAAGAGGAAGTACTGGGAATTAAGAGTGGAAACGTGGAAGACAAAGTCAGTGTGGATTAAAGCGTATGGGCAACAATGGGTTCCCCTGATGGTCAGCAGCACAGATACCCTGGCTGATGAGAGGGCGGAGGGTGGTCAGGGTTGGCTGACCACTCCCAGACGTCAGGAAGTGTGAGCAGATGAGGTGACACTGTAACTGGCCATCCTTTCAGCTTTGCAGAACCATATCCGACAGATCCGTAGATTCAGATGAATGCGAATCACAAAAGTGAACATTAATGATGACATTCTGACACAGTGCTTTATCAGATTAGCACCAACTGCAACACCACATAACAAACAAGATGCTGTAATTACATTGACCCTGATATTCCTAACAAATATAATCTGCATCTAGTGAATAATGTAAGTGCTCGTCTTGGCATCACAAATGCTGTCCTGTGAAATAATGCCAATGACATCAGTTATGTCAAAGAGCTCATTTTCAACAAAAATGTAAAAAAAAATTGAACTTCAGGAAGGGAAGTTTAAATGTGCTATCTGCGGTGTTAATCATGCTACAAAATCATTTCAAAAGCACAAGAATGCCTTGTATTTTTAGAGATGCTTGTTTCACTAACTAATTGCATTCGTCCTCAGTCTCACAATGTCCGCGAGAGCTGCTTAACTGCATTGCCAGTTTCACAACTGCTGAAAGCCCTACCCAGGAGAAGTTACTATCCTGGAGGGCAGAGGACTTTGCTCCTCCTCTTAACCCTGTGATGGACAACACAGATTTCCACTGGCTTTGAACTCCATGACTTCCCAAAGGTCTTCCTCTCTCCTGAGGGGAACAGAGGCAGAAGCCGAACTGCAACTGGCTGAGGAAGAAATGGACAAGCAGGTAGAAAAGCAGGCACACATTTGTCTTTCAGACATGTGACTGTTACAGTGAGGACAAGGAATGGGTGGCAGACAGAAAGAAATGCCCAGAGGTCACAAGGTGTTTATTGCATTTTTAGGGGAGTTATGTAACCATATTTACACAATGGGTGGATGGAGTTAGAGAAAAGAGAGAAAATAAAGACTTAGATAAGAGAAAGGTTCACAAGGCAACATTTAAAGCAAAATGAGTATTACCAAGAAGTTGAAGGAATATGGGTTCAGAATAACCAGTGTATTAAGGGTAATATTTTAAAAGAAAGGGAAAGCAAATAGCATATTTCAGATTAGGTATCATTTTATATAAACAAAATGTCTAAATCACAAATTTATTTAGTACAAAATATGATCCGTTGGGCTGAATCCAAGTTCTAAAAAAACTTAAGAAAAAATTCGCTTTGTCTAGAGCCATGGTATGATCATAGCAATTTTACAAATATAAGAAGACAGTAAGGATAATGAACATAAAAAAATAACAAAAACTCTGAGCAACTTACTGATCTTTTAAGAAAAGATTTTATGGGCCCAGCTCTGTGGTGTAGCAGGCTAAGCCTCTGCCTGTGGCACTGGGATCCTGTATGGGTGTCAGTTCATGTCTCAGCTACATCTTTTTCGATCCAGTTCCCTGCTATGACCTTGGAAAGCAGTAGGAGATGTCCCAAGTGCTTGGGCCCCTGCACCTGTGTGGGAGACCCAGAAGAAGCTCTTGGCTCCTGGCTTCAGATGGGCCCAGCTCTAGCTATTGTGGCCATTTGGAAAGTGAACCAGAGGATGGAAGACCTTTGTCTCTCCCTCTCTCTGTAATCCAACTCTCAAATAAATAAATAATTTAAAAGAGAATATCTTTTAAGAAAGAAAAGGAAAATCAAATATTTTTTATCATCTGTACACCATTTGGACCTGGCACTTTAGCAGCCAGTAAATATGTAGTGCCATACCTAACTGCGCCAATAGGTGGCAGAATAAAACCAAATTTACTGAGAACCATGTAAGTGAAAAACATTCAGAAATAAAGCTTTATGAAATGATAGTAATGGGTTAAAATTTCATATTCTAATTTATTGAACTATCTAAGAATTCTTCAACCTATAGTTTATAGTGATTACAGAGATACTTGAATTGATTTATGAATCCTTGCAGGTATAATTACAGCCAATCACAGGGAGATCTCGGACATCTTCCAATGTAGCAGGTGGACCCTCGTAAAAAGACTGCAGGGGCAGATGTTTAACTCAATGGTTAATATGCCTGTGTCCCACATCCAGATGCCTGGGTTCAATTCCTGGATCAGGCTTCAGATGCCTGGGTTCAATTCCTGGATCAAGCTCCAGATTCCAGCTTCCCACCCACACAGACCCTGGGAGTTGGTTTCCTATCAGCCACATGGGAAACCTAGGTTGTGTTGGCCACTGTAGGTGTCTGAGGAGTGAACCAGTAAATGGAAGTGAGCTTCCTCTGTCTCCCTGACTCTCAAATAAACAAAATTTTCAAATTGTTTTAAAATATCAGGAACCCACTAGACCTACTCTACTAAGTCATGGGGTAAATGATGACAACACTGGTTTAGTGCCTGTTTTTATTTCCACCATAATACAGTATAGCAGTGCTGGAATTGGAATCAAGAAACACAGCATTTAGCTTATGATGTCCCTAACTCTGTGATCCTGCACTGAAGGACAACATTCTGTGCCTTAGATTCCTGATCCCCAAAAGAGCATCCTGGACAAACTTTCACTAGAAAAAAACAAGTATACTCTACAATTTCAGAAGAGAAGAAAATGTAGTAGGCTGTTCTGCAGACAGCAAAGGAGGAGCAGTGCCAGGTGAAGGTGTACCCTGGTGAGACATCCAGCAAGACTCACCTGCCCCCAGGGGACCCGGCTCCACCAGCACATCCTGGGGCTCATCCAGCTCATCTTGCAGTTCCGTATCCTCTGACGGGATCCTCCGCTCTGAAGCAAATCTTTCTTTAGCAGATCTTTCTTTAAGTCCTGCATTTTTTATTCACAAGGTTAACTTAAGCTTACTTACTTTTTTGATATGTTACATCAGGAAAAATAATATTCTCAAGCATTTAACCAGCTGTGCACACATAATTGATAGTTTTCAATGCATAAATATTGAAGTGGGAAAATGCTTCAACTTCATATGAGTCTAAAATCTTGTCTAAATTCGCCTTTCATTCAGAAGTAATCAGAAAAGCTATTGTTTAAATGTTCACAAATCTCTAAAATATACAACCTAAACATGCCAGAAACAGCTCCTTGTGTGTTCAAGCTAACTCTTAAGCCCTAGACTCAGACCTCAGCAATGAGAACAGCCAAGATACACTTTAACTTTGGTACTCATGTGCACTTCATATTTTAATTTACATACAATTTATTCTTCTTGAAAAACTACAAATAGAGAAGAAAGCATATGAAAATAATTATGATCTTCTAATGGTGACACCTCCAAGTAATCTTATAACAGTTAAAAGATTTTTTAAAAATTCCTTTTTAAAAGTCAATCCCAAAGAAAATTAAGACATCAGGATAAATTAATGAAAATGGATTGTAAAGGCAACATCAATCTGAAATATGTTATGCTAACTTCTTTGATATTTTACACGTGCCAAATTAAAATATATCCTCAATTAAATGCACCTACTTAGAAAATCAAGCAAGGGTCAAGGGTCTGATTTCATTTACTGCCTCCAGGGTTCCTCAGGACCTGAGGGGCTATCACTACAGGGAGTGTTGTGCATGGTGGCAGACTAGTGCAAAGAGGTCAAGACAGACCCAAGAGGTTATTTTCCAACTTCAGGTACCTTTGTACAGCACTTAACGAACATATGCTATTGCAGTCTGGAAATTTCTCATTTCAATTGCTTTTGTTCTTTTTATTGTATGTATTTTCCCCTAAAATTCTCTTTCCTTTCATTGACAAAAACACCCTCCCAAGTTCCTCTTAGAATTTTGACACTGAGACAGGAAACAGCCCCCAACCCCAACCCTGCATCACTTTTATTTCCTCTACTGATTTCCAACCGTGCTTCCACATAAAACCTACCAAACACTCATGATATAGTTGTCTTCTACATCTAAGTGTAAATCTAATTAGAAAATTAGTTGCAAAAGGAGCCTACACAATTACCCACAGGTCCTAACTGTAGTTCAGTTTCTCCAGTAGGGGGTGGGGATGATGCCATCTTACACCACATTTCAAATTTAAACACAGGGCTGAGAACTCCTCTGCACTTTGCTACTGAAATACTCCATTCTAACACCCCTCTACTGTCAATGGGACATGGTTGCAACTGTTCACTGCCAAGTTCTGCTGAACGAACTGGCTGAAGCTTAAGAGCCTACAGGATCATGCACTTGATCTTGCATTTGAGGACCCCAGCAACACCGGGCATGCAGAGGGTGACTCAGAGCAGACCACACCCATTGTTGTGGCCACTGTGCTAGTCCACACGGATGCAGCAGTTCCCTGAGGGCCCAGGCTCCTAAGCAGCACCAGAGTGGCTTTGGGCTATACAGTCTAGCAAGGGGAGTCACATTAATTTCTCTCGAACTATTTCCCAGAGATCATTTGGCTGCCCCAGAATTCACCATTTCAGTGTCATGAGCCTAATTTGCCTGGGACAATTCCAGCTTGGTTTCTGTTTGTTTTTGTCCTAGAATAATTATTCACTCTCAGAAGTACCTCAGTGGTGATGAAAACTCAGTGTTACCCCTCACTAGCTTCATACATAGTAGGTTTTCAAACAGTGCTCCACAGTACACCAGCACCTCAACAGTTCCCCATCAAATGATAAGAATTCCAACTGCCTGAAAACCCTATTGCTACCACATTTGGAGAAAGTTTTCATCTGGGAAAAAAAGTTCTATGCTAAAAGGTTTGAAGACTACTAGTACGCTGATATTCGGACATACAATGCTCCTAATAGTTGGCTTTTGCTAACTCAATTGGGAGTTGTCTTTAAAACTGAAATTGTAAATCATATGAGAAACATTACAGCAAAAGACAAAGGCATCTAATGGGAGAAAAGATTGAGCTGTTTTCCATCCAAAGTAGCAGTTGAATTATAAATTCATTAATACCTGTTCACAGCTATTTCCAGAGGTGAACTCAGCACAAAAACAATACGGTAAGTTTCAAAGATACTGGGATCAGAATGCATTGCCCTCCTTGTATCCCTACAAACTCATTAAAAGTTAACAAGAACACACTCTGCACTAGAAGTGCTTTAAAGAATCAGCCCTGCAAGCTTTTATGCTAGTGTTCCACCCTCACGAACCCTTCCCCCAATTTTTTTCCACCCAAGCTGCTTTTGGTTCATAAGATTTAAGGCTAAAAGTAAAAACTAAACAACAGAACTAATTCATAAGGCCAACTCAGTCAACAAAAGGTTTCCCAAGTGGATTTATTATGAAGTACACATAGCAAAGAAATAAAGTAGCAGTGACATAAACATTCATTATTACACTAGGAACTGAGATTCATCAGTGTTCATATTCCTGGGCTGCATATATCAAGACATCAACTCACAATAGCGTCAGCAAGAAGGAAAGTCCTCTGATGTTACAAGATGGTGGTGGCAGCGCTAGGTTCATGCTCAAGCCAGCTGGGCTTCCTCTGGGCTTCTCTTCTGGACAAGAGGATGTGCAGAAGCGAAAGGATCAACTCTTGCTCTGCTCTTCTTAGGCTGGAGGACATCTTTTCTAGAAGTTCCCGGCAGTCTTCCCTTTTGGCTTTAGTCCTCAGAACGAGACCTGCTTCCACTTGTAAGCTGGCGAGACCATCAGGATGGCCCTACATAGCTGCCATGGACGTTAGTGCTGAATGAGCATGGCAAGTCCATCGTAATGACCATGATGCGATTTTGAAAATAAATCAATTCCCTTCGAGCACACCTTGTTTTTAGTTCTTTAGCTAAATGTGGAAATCTGTTTCGAAAATTTACACTTAATAACCACTTAACTTTCCTCCAATTTTAACTAAGACTGGAAGTTAGAAAATAGATAAAATCAGGCACTCGTGGATCACTTGACACAATTACCGTAGCCCAGAATTAGCTTACTTTATTCACTGTTGTGCAGATACATAACAGGAAAGAATGAACATATTCCCTCCATAAACACAATAAGAATGGCTTTTATTAAATTGCACACTGCATTCATTCGACAAACACTTATTCAGCAACTATTAATGTAAGGCAATGTCCGACAGTAAACATACAGTAGTCCTACATTCCACAGGGAGATAGCAATTTAAAAGAGAAGAAACATAAACTATTTTGAAATCGGACAGAAACAGATGGCATGGAGACAACGCAGCTCAAAGGTGGTAGGCAAACAAGGAGGGGCTCAGTCAACTGGGGAGACTCACTAATAACCTCTGAACAGATCCTAGAGGAAACCAAGGCTGTGGTATGAGACTCACAGGGGGAAAGAGGCGCCCTGGTGAAGGAACAGCACAAAATCCCTCACCTGGGAATGTGCTGGCTTAGAAGGTGCAGGGTGGGTGATGCAGCAGGAGACCCCGGGGAGTGAGTGCCAGAAAGGCCCAAGGACTGTGGGCCTCGAGAGGACGTTGATGTTGCACCTGACACACTTCTAAGAATTATATGCAAGCTGCTCCCTCAATGAAATCTGGGGAAGAGTATAAGCAGGAATTTGTTTCATAGGATTTTCATACAAATAGCCCATAAAAACTAAAACAATTTAATAAAACAAAAAATTAACTCAATTTTAGTTTACAATTCACTGGTATACAGGCTGAAGAAAAATTTTCTTGCCAATTCAGGTTACTCCAGTTGCCATTATTCATGATAGGTAAGTGCTTAGGATTGCCATTGCTTCACATGCAGTCACAGTAGAAATCAGTCCACCCCACAATGAACACTAGCAGGTACACTGAACTTGGGAAACATTTTGGAAAGTCAATACTCTAGAAAGGCATGCATACCAGTTGACCATGCTAATCTCTGTTGCTTCTGGCTTGTAAAATTAGTGAATTCAGGTTTTAGTAAGTACAGCAATATCAGCTCCAGAACTCAGAAAAATTCTGAGACTACCAGGAAGTAAATATTCCACCATGACAAACACCGAGAGCTATTCCAGATTCAAAGTATCTTGACGTGACCCAGGATGGATACACAGATTTCAGAAAGGAGATGATGAAAAGTCACACAAAAAAGTTACACTGCTGAAAAGGTTTCTAAGAACTTGCCAGGTTTCTGGACAAATGAAGGAACTCCACAAAGAATGGAAGGAGTGGCCTCACTTAACAATGGGCAAAATTCAGTTAAAGCTCACACAACACAACAGTGAGAAGGAACTTAGGCACTCAGGCATAGAATTGCACCTCAAGCACACTACCACTGCTACCACTTGAGTTACAACAAATACAGAAAAAGAAAATAAAACAGTTCCTGTTATAATATTTTTAAGGATTAAATGAGATATTTAAAAAGCAATAAATATTATCTTTATACATTATTATAGTTATATGAAAATATGATATTTTGGCATTCATGTATCTTTTTCCTTTATTTCTTCTACACAAATTTATCACACTCACCTCCCCCATGCATACACGGTAACATGAACAGAGCTGTAGGCAACTTCCAAATTGTTAAAATATATGGCAATTACTGGACAGTCTTTTAGGTTTTCCTTTTTTAAAAATTTAAACATTTTCTTCTACTATTCTTCAACAGTGTACACAGACCTGGAGTATTTTTAAAGGCTCCGTTTGCCATATTTCCCATTCAAGTCTATCACTGTCACTTACGCAGGTAGGTACTAGAAGTCAATTCAGTCTGGCAGCAGAACCCAAGGATGAAGCAGGGTGATGAGTGTGGTAACTGAGGCATGCAGATGCAGCCCCCTGGAGTGTCGGGGACATCTGAGTGCAGACATGACCACCAGGCTGGGTCCTAAAGGAGGTGCAGAGGAGCCCAGCACACAGAGCTGGGCAGAGGGAGTAGCAGGTGGTACTGGCTAAAGTTGTTTTGAAAACAAACTCTGTGATCTGGCTGCTTTTAGTGCAGATGAAGAACTGTGCATAAGCACTGTGTTAGCTTGCTCTACACCTCTCCATTCACCCCACTTCTTTTGAGAACAGTACAGCAGTTTTCTTCTGTGGAATGATTTTCTTTCATTCAACAGTTTTAACAAGTGGACACTTGCATGACCCAGGCCTTGTGATCCACACCCCCATAAGAATTAAGAATGAAAGATGAGCATGTGGGGCTCTGCCTCCAAGGAAGCCAGCACTCTGATAGAGTCCAGAGTGGACAGAGGGCTTCAGAGCACCGCTTGCCTTCCTAGATCAGTAAAACTCAATGACAATCTGGGCTTTACAACTACATGAGGCAATCAATGTCTTCTCCACATAAGCTAATTTGAATGGATTTAACACAAGTTTCCAAAAGGTTCTGGGGAATACCTGAAAGTAAATCTGTTAAATATGCTCCTAATTTCCTGAGAAAGTCAGATGTCTTTTTCCATAGAAACAGTTACATGGAAACTGGCAGGACTGGGGTTTAGGGACCAAATGGACTTTTGCACACTGGAGTATAAAACCTCTGAAAACCACCAACTTGCTTCTATGGGAATATGTGTTTTGAATACAAACAAACTTAAAAATTTTTTTTCATAAGTTGGCTGGTTATGAAACTTCTCCATGTTTCCCTATACTTACGATTAGAGTTTGCAATGTCTTAAATGTCATTCGAGCCCTTAGATTTCCTAACGTGTGTTTCCATGGTGTGCAGTGTTCTCTAAAGTTAACCATTCCTATGGCTTTAGGCCTGGTTAAGATTTATAAGTACTTTCATTTGCTCTATCATCTCAGGAGAACAGATCCACATCCAGTATATCCACTTCACAGATAAATTTGTTCCAAAGGACAAGGGAGGGAGGTAGACCTCACAACCTGTTGACAAAGGTAGAGGTAGCGATTCCAATTTTAGTGATTCCAATTTCTTAGCCATTTAATTACCATTATTGTGTTGAGGCAAAAGGGAAGTTGAGGCATCATGAAGTGCCAGTTGCTCATAGATATGCAGCATCAGGTGCATCTTACAGACATCTTGAGTGACAGGTGTTAATGTCTGCATAAAAATGACAGAAACCCCAACTCCAACATACACTTTACAGCGAAATATTCTGAGTAACCAAATCTAAATAACCAAAGATATGAGGAGGGGAAGGAATATTTGAGGACAAAAAAGAAAGGAAGCAAAGTCACGAGACATAGCTTAAACCATCAGACACATTTCACAGATGACTAAGTCACAGTTATCTTAAAACACATAAAATTAAAAGTCATACTTTCTGGGGCCGGCGCCGCGGCTCACTAGGCTAATCCTCCGCCTAGCGGCACCGGCACACCGGGTTCTAGTCCCGGTCGGGGCGCCGGATTCAATCCTGGTTGCCCCTCTTCCAGGCCAGCCCTCTGCTGTGGCCAGGGAGTGCAGTGGAGGATGGCCCAGGTGCTTGGGCCCTGCACCCCATGGGAGACCAGGAAAAAGCACCTGGCTCCTGGCTCCTGCCATCGGATCGGCGCGGTGCGTTGGCCGCGGCGGGCCGCCCGAAGCGCCCGGCCGCGCCGGCCATTGGAGGGGGAACCAACGGCAAAAGGAAGACCTTTCTCTCTGTCTCTCTCTCTCACTGTCCACTCTGCCTGTCAAAAAAAAAAAAAAGTCATACTTTCTGACTTCCACTCTTTTTAACAGAACTATTTCTAGAGATAATATTTATTATCCAAGAAATCATTATGAGAACCTCTAAATAGTACAAAGTCTGATCAATGAACTCTACACTTCTTTAATTCAAGTCATTCTCCCCAGTATTCATGTAGACTGATTTACATCTATTTCTCTACCAGTCTCTCTCCTCACTGTTTAATGTTCACAGGATCATCTGTACACAACACAAGCCATCCATAAAGTAAAACTGAAAATCCTGTGTAAGAAAGGGAAGGGAGAGGGGAGTCTGACCTAATGATTAGACCTTGCCTGGGTTTGCTGCTAGATCTGGCTCTTGCTAAAGCAGATCCTGGGAGGCAGTGGTGATGGCTCAAGTAATTGGGTTCCTGCCACCCACATGAAGACTTGGATTGAGCTCCTGGCTCCTTCCTTCAGCATGCTCCAGTCAGCTGTTGTGGGCATTTGGGGAGTGAACCAATGGACAGGAATAGTCTTTCTCTCTCAAATGAATAAATAATGAATATTTTTAAAAGGTAGAATTTCAAGAAGTTGATTATAAGTCCTATTAGAAATAATTAAGATTCATGCACAAAGTAAAGGAAAACACAAAGGTTAGACAAGAAAGAAAAAAAAAAGATGCTCTAAAGAAATTGATACAAATCAATGATATCAAAGAAAGTGATGTGAACAGTAACAGATAAAAAAGATTCTCAACAAAGCTTACAGGTGATTAACCATTTTCATAAGTCTAATGACCTTCATGGCAATTAGGCTATTCAAATGTGAAATGTTATCATAAGGTTTAAGGGAAATTGTGATAACACAATTTTTCAAAATTCAAAGTATTATACTGTAAATTAAAACAAAACATTGTTGATATAAGGAAATAAACTTATATTCTGAATATTTAATTTTTACTTCTCAGGTTTTCCTCAAAATTTCTTCTGAGTCCCTACTATTACTATTACAAAATTTTTGTCTTTGTCATCAGTTGGCTTATTTTAAAAGAATAACCTTTCTGGTTTTAATTATAATTAGGTAACAATGCAAACTGAATAACAGAGAAATATCTTCCTAGAGAATACAAGGTAGTGTAAAACTAAGACGCAAACATGTTTTTGACTCATTAATCAGGATGAAAGTTTACCTCCTACTAAGTTTTTAGTTGAATCTTAAGTGCCAATGCAGTTTGTGTGTCCTCAATTTCAAATGAATTGTTTAAGCCTTTTATTTACTGAAGAAAAAAAAAAGTGGGGGAGGGGGAGAAAAAGAAAATGGAAAGAAGAAACCAATCAGGTTCTTGATCTCAAGTGCTCCTGAAATATTCTGAAACATTCAAACAGAGATGTTTTGATTCTTGTCCTGATAGGCAAAGGAAATGATGAAACCGTAAGGTTTCAAAGTGTTTGACTGAACAACAGATAATACCTATGTGCTCATGCCGATCAGGGTATTCTAAAATGTCTTCACTCATTTGCTTAGACTTAGGACTTAGCTACTTTCTGCTCCATAGCCTGTCTTTCAAATACCATGATGAAAACTACTCAAATTGCCCTCATTAAATATAATTCTCTGCTCTAATGTGAGAAAAAAAAAAGCCTGTAAAAAGAGAGAGTAGCTCTGAAAATTTCACCCATAAATAAAATCAACCCATTTATCTCAGCAGCAAGATCAAAGATCAGGATGAATTTTGAAAATTTTGTGGTTTGTATACGTGTGGTGTGAATCGGTTTTGCTCTGCTGTTCCATCCATTTCTCAGTCACCGTCTCCCTCTTCTTGTCCCAGGAACCCTTCTTCTGCAGTTTGGGTTGTCACCCACTCAATCTCCACCACCAGAACAAGGCTGGGAAGTCTAACTCCCCAGCTAACATAAGGGTCATGGGCACTCACCAGGCCTAACCAGGCCAGGCAGAATTCTTGACTTCTCCACTATGGCACTCCCAGAAAACCGCCTCCTTACAGGAGGGTGGAGAAGCTGGAAAGATATGGCTGGTGCTGAGAATGTCCTGTTCAGGAAGTGGTAGAATCTCCATACACAGTAAAGCCGGGCAGAAGCCAGCAGAGCCAACACTTGGGAAGAGAGCTAAGGAGCAAGAGAGTTCTGATTACAGGGCTGGACTTCGGATCTATTTGCCTGAGGTCAGGACCCCTGTGTTTGTCAACCAAAGGAGCCATAAAACTTACTTCCGATTCACTGTTTTATTGGAATCAATAATAACAACAGCAAAATCCTGACTGGTCACGAATGTTACAATTTGAGCCTCAGTTTTTACCCAATAAAACAACAGGATTAGATTAGATGAAGGTATTGGGTTACATATTCTCTAGGATTTCCAGTTTGAATTCTATTGTGTAAGTTGGATTTGTCAACCATGTCTAAATATTTGATTTCAGTCAGTAAAAGGTGTACAGTGCTATTAAGTAATACTTGAAATTTACTCATTTTTGCTTAAGTACCTTTGATGAGGTCAAAAACTGGATCTTTAAGCTCTTCATAGAAAACATTAAAAGCTATTTTATAAAAATAAAATATTTGGGGCATTTTCAATTCTGTTATAATAAACAGGTTGCTCTCAATGTCAGCTGCATTTCATGTCACAATTAAAAACTTCATGCACAGGGCCGGCACCACGGCTCAATAGGCTAATCCTCCACCTAGCGGCGCCGGCACACCAGGTTCTAGTCCCGGTCGGGGCGCCGGATTCTGTCACGGTTGCCCCTCTTCCAGGTCAGCTCTCTGCTGTGGCCAGGGAGTGCAGTGGAGGATGGCCCAAGTCCTTGGGCCCTGCACCCCATGGGAGACCAGGAGAAGCACCTGGCTCCAGCCTTCAGATCAGCGCAGTGCGCAGGCCGCAGCGTGCCGGCCGCGGCGGCCATTGGAGGGTGAACCAATGGCAAAGGAAGACCCTCTGTCTCTCACTGTCCACTCTGCCTGTCAAAAAAAAAAAAAAAAAAAAAAAAAAAAAAAAAAAAACAAAAAACTTCATGCACAAACACTAAAACCACTTGCAGAAATACACTTCTTAGTGAAATTTCACTTATTACATGTTTTCAATGAGCTGAAATTCTGATCTCTATTTAGATCTCAAATTTTCAATTATTAAGAAATGATAAAAAATTATGATACAAATATGAAATATAGATTCTATACAAGAATAACAATGAAAAAATGGTGATATAAAATGTAAGGATGCCCTAATTTGAAATAATTAAAGCCTTTCTATAACTATACTGTGTCTGTAAAGATACCACGAATAAAGTGTTCTGAAATTGTGCTTATAAATAGAATTTTCTCTTGTATTCATGACTACATTCGGGTTTCTCAGATCAGTGTATCTGGCTCATGGTAAATATTTGTTGGAAGACAGAGAGAAGGGAGGGAAGTGGTCACAAAGGGAAGAATAGTTGAGGAGCAGTGAGGAGTGAGGTGGCATACAGGGGTGGGAAAAGAGGTAAAGGAGACAGAAAGAGACTGAGGGAGAAGAGATCAGACTTAAAAGAGGTGGAGTGGGCAGGGAGAGAACCCAGGAAATGCAAGAGGAAGTGGGGCCTTGAAAGAACAGGAGGAGCCAGGGTCTGGAGGAATGGGGGAAGAGGGAGGAGGCCATAAGCAGGTTGGTGGGTTGGGGTTCATAAACAGGGTGGGGTTGTGGGGTGCCCACAAAAGAGCTGGGGAGGGGAGGAGAGAGGGAGGGAGGAAAAGAGGCAGAAGTAGAAAAGCAAAGGAGGAAGGGACACAAAGGGCCAGCAGAAAGAAGTTGCCTTTCCTGTCCACAGGAACATTCAGCAAACTTGGAAGTCATGGGCAGAGACACAACTATTTCAAACACTAATACTTTTTTCTTATTTGTTTAGCCCCGATGAAGGCATTCAAATCAATATACTAACAGATCCATTATCATTCATATTATACAACACGTGTATCAATTCATGATCAATAAATTAAAAACAAATTATTACAAATGTTGACATACATTTTAAAAGCTTCAATTTTTTAATTTAGAAGCATGAGACATTATATTTAAATTTCAAAGAATGTACCTGCTGAGCACCAATAAATACATTCCAGGACTAATTTACATGTCTTTTCCAACCTGGGCAAGGCTACCTTTTTGAGGCCCGTTTTTGCGGCCAATCACGATTAAGAATACCACCATTTCCTGGGATGACGTCAGAGCGTTAGTTCTTTCTCTTGTGGCTATTTCCCTTTGCCAAGGTTGTGAGTCTGGTAGAACTTCGGCTTTCCTTTCTGTCATCCGTGTCTCTGGGTGCCATTTTACTCGAAAGATCCTTTGTTGGTGTTGACTTTTTCCTGTTTTCCTTGGTCTTGGCACTTTCCGCTTTCTCCTTTTCTTTGCTCTTTTTGCCGGCGGGAGACTCTCTCCGGGACACATCGGAAGCAGCAATTTTCCCACCCTTCCGGCTGTCTTCTTTTTCTTTCTTCCCCCTTTTTCGCTCCTCATGCTTGCTTTCCCTCCTTGATTCAGGTTTCTCTTTTCCCTTCTTGAGCTCTTCTTTAATGAGTTCTTTGACTTTTGAGTTTTTCAACCAAAGGAAAAAATGTTTACTGACTGCATCTCTTAATTCACAGAATAACAACTTAGTGACAAATGGTCTTTTTAGTATGCCTCCCAACACAGGAAATGTTTGCTCAAAAAGCTACTGTAATAGCTTACAAGGTGGCTAAAAAATAGATGCACAGGCCTAGAACACATCAGCTATGAAATAAGCACTAGAAAGTTGCTGTCATATTTTTTCCACCTTGGAATGTGGTATGACTTGCCTTAAAACAAGGTTAACATGCAGTGTTACCACAATGAGAACACCCAGAAAGACAGTGCTTTACACCAAGTGTTAACTCACACTTCCTAACTTAGACAACATAAGTAAAGGAACACTGGGAACATAATTGGAAATTGTTCACAATTTGTATCTGTATAAAACTTTTTGGAAATTTTTAGTTCAAACAAAAAAAATCACATGCTCAAAATAGCTGGGCTTACAATCCTTGAAAAAAGCATGCACAAATAAAAGTTAAGCATCATTTAATCATCTTAGCTAATGAAGCAAACAATTATTTCCGTGACATAAAATTTCCATATATACTACTTTAAGATCATTATCTGTGGTATTTGCTGCTTATATTCAACATTATGCAATCAGTATTCCTTTAAGTATGTTCTCCTGATAATTAATATAGAGCTACTCAAGCCAGCAGCCATGTCTTTCCCACTCAGAGGGGAGAGGGAGCAATTAAATGGAATACACAGCAAATTCCAAATCTCAGGTAAGATACTACTTTCAACATGCTTTGCATAAACTTTGATAGAGTGGTTAGCAAATGCCTTGAGATTCACTTTCTTACTCTCTCATTAGGAAACCATAACAACATATTTACTGTACAAGGTAGCATTGAAGCAGAGGCAAAGAAAATGAAAGATCTCTTTAAAAATGCATGTGATATTCACGTGCCCATCACAATCACGGAAAATTCACATTGCACACCAGGTCCTCCAAAGCAAGTGCTGGTTTTCTGGTGCTCATTAAGATGCTTTACATTCTATCTTTCTAGACAGTTGTCTTGACTAACCAACAAAAATATATAGGATTTTTCATTAAGTGAATTTCCTGGTGAACAGGAAATCCTTCAGTATTCCTGAAAATCTCATCAAAATCCTATAATACAGAAGCACATTCATACAGATCAACCTCCATCTCGTCATTCTACTTCAGTGTTGTTTGTAGAGTAATAGACCTGACACTGCAAAACAGTAAAATGTGCAATGTCATCAGGATTTATTCTGTATGGTATTTTTTATAAAATTAAGTCTTTCATGTTTAATTTGCCCTTCTGGATCAGGAAATAAAATTGTCCCTTACTGGCCATGTTAACATCATCATTATTTACATACAAATAAATTTTCTTCCTAGAAATTATCCAGGTCAGAAATGCAAGTTTAAAACACATTAAAATTTCCTGATCTTAAAATACAAATCTGAAAATCACAAAGTGAAAGTCTCATCTGTTTATGTTTCACATTTTACCAAAAAACAAACTACAAGCAATGAGCCAAGCACTTGAAGACAAAAACAAAAAATCCCAAGTTTATAAAGAAAAACATGCAGTTCCCCCCAATCACCTCTACCCAAAGCACATAAATATTTACATGTAAATAAGAAAAATCATGGGGGTATACATTAAGGTTACAATACATATGTAGGTTAGCCTACATATAATGGTTTACAGGTATGGTACTTAGCAAACTAAAATATCAAACACAGCAAATTCTATACCAACATTATGCAGTGTTCTGCATTACAAATCTAAATTTTCATCTTACTGTAAACTACATGTTTGACCACACTAGCTTTTGCTGTGCTCTAAGACAGAATGTCAACAGAGCTTTTGTAGAAATGAAATCTATCACTGAATGATTCACCTTTTTTATGGTAGTACTTAAGAAAGTCAAACTAAGAAAGATTTTACATAGGAAAGAATAATATGCATGTATAAATTTAATATATATAACAAATATGACACTGGTATATACATTCTTTAAAGAATGTTATGTTGAGAAAATGAAAAGCAAATGACATAAAAGATTATATGCTTATGGAAGAAAATTATTCAATGAAGTCTTGATAAAGCTAGCTATGGCTTAAAGATGTGCATATAAGATCAAAAAGCAATAATGTTTAATATTAGTAGCTGCATTTACATAACATATCCAGAAAATGTCATGCATGCTCAAGCAATAAACTTTAACTCAAGGCTAATTGGAAAAATAGAAAATACCTTTAGCCTTGGTTTTTCTCTTGGCTACCCCACCAGGTTCTTCTGTTGGTATTTATAAGATAAAAATAGGTTATGAAGAGAAAATACTAAGGGGGTTCAGAAATAAGAATCTATGCAATACTCAAAGTTACCTCTATGAAAAAAAGCATTTAAATTCACCACTTGAAAAAACACTGTAACACAGAAATATCTATTATTTATATGTCACTGTAAAGCCTTTCACTAGCACAGATAAATGCATTATAATCAACTATGATTTAGTCAATTTCATAAGGTTCCTGAGGCCTCTAACAAGCGTTTGCACTGAAACATCTAATAATCATTGGCAATGGCATCTCGCTCTTGGTTGTGGACTGCTGCCTAGGCCACAGGTACTCTATTGCAAGTACCAGGGTTGAATGACACAGGACTTTGTTTCCTTACTCAACCACCACTACCATCCAGAAAAAGAGAGTGTATTTTCACAGAATTTTAATCTTTACTATTTGAACAAGCATTCCTTTCTACACACCCCCCTGCCATGATTTCAAATTTTCTTTAAAAATAAGTGTATAAGCAACCTAAACCATTACACAGGTACATATAAGCTTTATCACTCTATAAACTTTTCAACAGCTTTCTATTTCCTCTCTTGGCAAAGGAAAGTTCTGATAATGGGTTTATTTTTGACCCCCTAGCAAACGTCAGTACTATATGCCTCCCAGTGCACTCTATTCCAATAAGACTGTACTTAGTGTCTCATTCAATTACTCTCCCCATCTCCTGATCACATAAATGTTATTTCATATTTATGTATCAGCAGACTTTTGAGTTGGCATTTTAAGAGGCCAAGCCATTCCATATGCACATCAGGTGGAAGGTGTGGTCCTTATTTTAGTCCGTCTCCTAGGGATGTGGGGAAGGGGTTGAGGACAGCTCCACACACAAACCATCCTCAAGAGCCAAGATCTAAGGTAGCATCAGGAGAAAGCCCCTTAGTTCTCCGACACTTATTCCTGCTGTAAACTGTGGAACTCTCAGTTTCTTGAAACCACAGTTATACTCTCACGTTTGGCATGAGGCAGTTGATGTTCAAATCATTCTCCATTCCTAAATCCTCTTCCCTTTTTCTATTCACAGCAAATTGTTTCCAGCAAATGAGGTAATGCATTTGAGAACAGTAGTTTATTTTTGCTGAAGTATCACCATCACCATTCTGGGGGAAAAGAAAGTGTTAGTTTATCTTTCTACTGACAAAGAAGGAAGGAAGGAGTATAAGCAGATAGGACTAACTGCTCCTTGTGGCTACCTCTGACTAATTATTTGATAAATGCTGAGAATCTAACCAGTGTGTGTTTAACTATTATTTTTTCACAAACCTCATTCTTTCCTAAATTCTTGTCAAAAAGTAGCATATCACCTTTCAATACAGAATGGTATCTTGGACCAATACATACCAAACTTTACTTCAGAATAAAAAAATCTCTTTGGGGGGGCTGGCACCATGGTGCAATCGGTTCATCCTCCACCTGTGGCGCCGGCATTCCATATGGGCGCCAGGTCTAGTCCCGTCTGCTCCTCTTCCAATCCAGCTCTATGCTGTGGCCTCGGAGAGCTGTGGCCTCGGAAAGCAGAAGATGGCCCAGGTCCCTTTGGCCCTTGAACCCATGTGGGAGACCGGGAAGAAGCACCTGGCTCCTAGCTTCGGATTGGCGCAGCTTTGGCCATTGTGGCCATTTAGAGAGTGAACCAACAGATGGAAGCCCCTTCTCTCTCCCTCTCTCTCTCTCTCTCTGCCTCTCTTTCTCTCTCTGTGTAACTCTTCCAAATAAATTAATAAATCTTTTAAATAAATCTATTATTATAATATCAACTTTTAAATACACGGGCATTGCTGAATGTATAAGGAAAATTAGCATAAAATATTAAAATATATTTTAATCCTGCTAATGTCCCCCTAATAACCACTGCATGTTTTCACCTGGTGGGCTTGTTAAAAAGCAGTGGTAAAAATCCAGTTACCCACTTCTCACCCCCATGCTCAGGATACATTTTAAAAAGAACCACCTTAACGAGCCGGCGCTGCAGCTCACTTGGCTAATCCTCCACCTGTGACGCAGGCACCCAGGGTTCTAGTCCCGGTTGGGGCACCGGATTCTGTCCCGGTTGCTCCTCTTCCAGTCCAGCTCTCTGCTGTGGCCCCGGAGTGCAGTGGAGGATGGGCCAAGTGCTTGGGCCCTGCACCCACATGGGAGACCAGGAGGAGACACCTGGCTCCTGGCTTCGGATTGGCGCAGCACACTAGCCTTAGTGGCCACTTGAAGGGTGAACCAATGGAAAAGGAAGGCCTCTCTCCCTCTCTCTCTCCCTCTCCCTCTCCCTGTCTAACTCTGCCTGTCCAAAAAAAAGAACACACACACCTTGACGAAAAGGTCAGAATTAATTTCTCTTATGAGTAGGCTAAATACTACATTAGCATCAGAAGAGTAAAATACTGAAAAACAAGCATTTTATTTAAACCATTTCCATTTGGGATACACATCTTTAAATGGTCACAAATCAGTTAGTGCAGTGTACCATATAAAATACAAAGTATCATGCTAGCCAACCTTTCATATACTTAAAAGAAATGCAGCCAAGAAATTTTCTTAATTTTTTACATGAAATGAAAAACTAATACTTGAAAGCCACTATCATATTCAGCCTCTGAAAGAAAGGCCAGGCATGAGGAAAGCACAGTCCCTGTGCTTATTAGTCAATAAAATAAAGGAGGCCCGAAAGTAACGGCCAAACAGGAGTGAGGAGCAACAAGACAATGCATTCTCTAATAGTCAAAGAGCAGCGTTAGGCAGGGAAGCAGGAACAAAAGTTGGGACATGACACTACTGAGTTATGATAGTTATTAAATATCCCGTAAAGTTCTTGGGATTGGGGCCGGCGCCATGGCTCACTAGGTTAGTCCTCTGCCTGTGGCGCCGACATCCCATGTGGGCACTGGGTTCTGGTCCCAGTTGCTCCTCTTCCAGTTCAGCTCTCTGCTGTGGCCTGGGAAGGCAGTGGAGGATGGCCCAAGTGTACCCGCATGGGAGACCAGGAGGAAGCACCTGGCTCCTGGCTTCAGATTGGCGCAGAGCCGGCCGTGGCAGCCATTTGGGGTGTGAACCAACAGAGGGAGGACCTTTCTCTCTGTCTCTCTCACTGTCTGTAACTCTACCTGTCAAATAAAAAAATGCTATAAAAAAAAGTTCTTGGGATCACTGTTTTACAAGCAGTAGAACAGTCCCATTACAATGATGAGAAAATGTTGAGGAAAAAAACTAGAGTGTTCATGAGAGGCTTTCAAACCTTAGGACAGAACTGATAATACATGGGGTTTCCTAAGATTTCCAAGGAGCAGAAAAGGGGTGAGCATCTGAAGAACCTTACCTGAGTTTGCATGCCTTAAAGTAGAGGAAAAATGGGCCTGTGTGAAAGAAAAAGCTAAGGGAACGGAGAGAGGAAGGAGACGCTGAGGTCAGAAGGCGGTGCAAGCACAGGGGAAGGCTGACTCTGGAAACTTGAAGATGCCACCTCTGGGAAAAACGATGGAGGAAACAGGGAGGGAACAAAGTGTTGAAGAATGGAGAGAGAAGACAATGAGATGGTCATCTCTGACCATCTCAAGGAAGCAGAAGGCAAAACTCATCTCTGCAGAGGAATACAGCGACCTTGGAAAATGGAAGAGCAGGGAAAAGGTCTGGGATGCCTGCTGTGAGGAACTGCTCCAGGACCGCAGCAGCAGCAGCAGCACGCAGGCACATGCATCTCTAATCTCTAATCTCTAATCTCCAAAAGTGTTGTGAAGCCCAGTGGTGGAGAAAATGGTCCATGGTAACCCAGGGCTGCTGACAAGTAGAGGCAAAGAAAGAAACAATTTTGGGAGCCCTAGGAGATGGCCTCAGAGATAGCTCCTCTATCCTTTCTAATTCTTGACAGAATTAAAAAATCTTAACATTTGTATCTAGAGTTGATAGGCACTCTCCCTATGGTGTCAAAAATCAACAAGCATGTCCTATTTTTCTCCTTGTATCTCTTACAGTAGCCAATACCTAGGGGGTTTAAAAAGAAAAAAGGAACAATTTCATCAAACAATGGAACTGATGACAATACAATAGCTCTTTACAAATAGATTCTAAGTAGTATGGAGAAAACTCTATCAATTAGAGCTCAAAAAGAAGCACCTTGGTATTCTGTAATCTATTTGGACAGAAGTTGATTTTACTGATGGAATCTTGATTTAAAGTATCAGGATATGCTTAAAGTCAAAGAGAATGGCAAAATAGTAATCACCATATTATTCACTTTCTGCTCATCCTTATTCTGGTGCTTTTAAAGGGTATTATTGTTAACCCTGGTCACTCTTTGGGAATTCTTACACAGAAATTTGAAAACAGCAGGTCTTTTATTCTTCCCTTAAGGATACTGCTTATGGGGTCAGCATTGTGGTGCAGTGAGTTAAGCATCCCATGTAAGAGACAATTCAAGTCCCAGCTGCTCCACTTCCAATCCAGGTACCTGCTAATACACCTGGGAAAACAGCAAAAGATGCCCCAAGTGCTTGGGCCCTGTCACCCACAAAGGAGACAAGGATAGAGTTCCTGGCTTCTAGCTTCAACCTGGCCCAGTCCAAGCGATTGCAGCCATTTGGGGATTGAACTGGCAGGTGAAAATTCTCTTTCTCTCTCTCTTACTTTCCCCTTCTTCCTCTCGGTAACTCTGCCTTTCAAATAAATAAATAATTTTTTTTTAAAAGACGATTGCTTAAAGTTAATTTACGCTAGTTTGGCAACTGCCTCAGAGTCACTATGCCCAACTTGTTTTCAAAATGAGAAGGACTTTATGAAATTCAAATGTGTGAGTCATGAAGCCAGTAGTTTGACCCGTGGCCCCACCACATGCAGTAGACAACAGCTTTAGAAAACCAGCTACATCACAAGTGTTAGGAAACTGGCGCAGCTGGCGCATGGCCCAGCTACCTGAGCCAGGCTCCACCCCCATCCTAATGGGATTGGCTGCTCCTGCTT